TATAACTGCTCTCCCCAAAATAAAGTTCATTAATTTTTTAAAAATCTCATCCATAAAGCCTATATAAGTGCTGCAAAATTTACTGACTCAAGTATGATTTCCCTGAATCTCTGTTGGAGAACACGCCACATGTGGATCAGAGATCCTTTGTTTTTGTTTTTAATCCTCACCCAAGGATATGTTTACTCATTTGACGGAAGGGGGTAGGGAGAGAGAGAAACATTGATCAATTGGATTAGTTGCCTCCCATACCCACCCTGACAGAGGATAGAACCCACAACCTGAGTATGTGTGCTGACCAGGAATCAAATTCGTAGTCTTTGTATAGGATGACACTTCAACCAACTGAACCACACAGGCAGAGCAAGATCATGTCTTAAATGCAGTAAAAAGCTATCACATGTTTAAGTGCCAAATATGTATATGAATGGTAAACACTTTTAAAGCACTATATAAAATATATTATATATAATATGTAATATATAGCCATTGTCATATAATGCTCACCTAAAGAGGAAGCTGGAAATCCGGTCCTACTAGCAAAGGTGGACCCCACCCTGATTGCATTTTAGGGCAAAAAGAGTCTGACTTCTACATTCAGTCAAAAATCATTCTGAAACAAGTGCCAGTCAGTCAAAAATCATCCTGAAACAAGCACAGTTCTTGACCACTAAGGGGCTATAAGCTCCCTGGCATAAGCACCAATGTAGTTTAGCCTGGGATGGCTAGCTGTGTGAACTAAGCAAAGTCAGTTTACATCTCAGGGTCACCTTCCTTTCTGAGGGAATAAATGTTCTGTGATATTTCAGAAAGCAGTATAAGCATCAGTGAATTACTACCATATTGCCTACTTGGAAAGCAATTAGTGGCAGTGATTGGAAGCATAAAATATTACCTACAGACATTAAATAAACTGCCCAAACATATCTGGAGTGTTTCCCCAGGGTTACACAAACAAGGGGGTACTTTAACTATAGATAAGCATATCAGTCAAGACAACAAATCCTCCCTATGAGGGGATGCAAAGAAGCAGAGACTTGCTCTGTCTTTCTGAAGGCCAAAAATCCCTTGGCTTCATTGTGACAGGATTTTTGGTGTTTTCTTACTATTCTATATGTGGCCCCTTGTGCTTATAGGATGGAACATCTGCTAGAAAGAGCTTAATAATACTAAAGGTATAGCAAGTGAACCATTCATATTTTTCTCAACACTGCACAGGAAACTGCTTAGCAGCAGTTGTAAGAGCTTTCTCCTAATTTCAAGTGAATTAATGAAGGCATTTATTTACTTGAGGAAGTGGTTGGTCTTGTCAAATTCACATGGAATTTAGAATACTCTGACAACTTGTTAAATCTGGAGGAGGTATGGCACAACACACACAAAATGGGCTATTCAAGAGAGGTGCCTGGAAATTCTTCATGGGATCCAATGTGCATTACCCAGCAGCCAGTGTGGAGTTATCAATATTAGCTGGTTACATAAAGTCTGTTCATCAGGACAAATGAAAATAACATCTTGCTCTTCTAAATGCCTGATTGTAATCCCTTAAACTAGTCTAAATGCCTGATTCCAATCCCTCAACTTAGTCAGGAATCCACTACATAAAAATACAATTTATTATCATTACCATGTCACTCAACATTTTTTGAACAGCTAACCAGATGCTTCCACATGTAATGTCAGTTAATATGTACAACAAACTTCTGAGGTAGGTATTATTATCCTCATTTTACAGATGAGGAAACTGAGACACTAAGAATGTCAGAATTTGAACCCAAACCTGTATGACTCAATTTCCATTAATTTCTCTTGGCTTCCCCAGTAGAGACAGGAAAGAAGTTCATAGTCATTTCTCTGTTTGGTTTTTAATAGTGATTCTTCAGAGAGGTGATAACACCTGAGCATAGCACTAATGGCTTTAGAACAAGAAAAAAAAAGTTGGCAGAAATGGGAAAAAAAATCTGAATTTGAAAAATTGGTTTCAAAGTAAAACGAAACCCCAAGGTATGGATTGGGGCAGTTGAATTGATACAAAAAAGAAGAGAGAATATGCCAGATATGGCTCAGTGGGTTGAGTGCTGGCCTGGGAATGAAAGGGTCTCTCATTCAATTCCCAGTCAGGGCACATGCCTGGGCTGTGGGCTAGGTCCCCATTGGGAGGGCATGTGTGAGGCAGCCACACATTGATGTTTCTCTCCCTCTCTTTCTCCCTCCCTTTCCCTCTCTCTAAAAAATAAATAAATAAAATATTTTTAAAAATTCAGTTGTAAGTCCTGATATCCAAAAAGCTGTAACCATTTAATGTCTTTTCTGAGAGTACTGGGTCACAGACTTGGTTTCTAATCTCTGCTCCAACAACAGCCTTACCTATGATCTTGGATCAGTTAACAATATGTAAAATAAGAATAAATAATAAAATGCATCTACCTCACAGAAATGCTTTAAAGAATAATATTGCAACAACATTTGAGATCTTATAAGAAAAGCCTCTGCAGTTTAATACAAGACTAACTCCATCAGTGCAGAGGAATCATTCCTAAACGGAAAACAGAAAATTCCAGATAATATGTCAGCTGATCTAGTGTTGGGATCCTGAGGGGCTGTAGCTCCCTTCTAGGAATCCAGAAATATCTTCTAAACTATAATTGAGGGTCAACCAGAGAATTCTGAAGGGTGATGACCAGCCAAAACAGTGCTACAAATGACTCATTCATTTATCTATCCATTCAATAAATATGAATTGAAAACCTTCTTTGGACTAGAACTGAAAAACTTAATTTTATCTATTTACTATGGGTTCAAGAATAAAGCTGGGCCAGCCTGAGCACTATTCAGTGGGCCCTATCCCAGATAGCCATATCCAGCCTGAGGCCTGGTGCTCAGTACAGGAGGGGACCCTAGAAAAGGGTAATCTAAAAATCCCCCTCAAGCTTCATACTACTGTGAAATCTACTTCCCAGCTAAATACAATTCTTCCATTTCTTCCAGATGGCCCTGAGCACAGAAGCATAGAATTGTGAATACACACACACAAAGGTTCTGTACTGCTATACTAGATTATACCTATTTGAATGTGTTCCTTTGTATGATATGAAGTCTTCGTATATGTTTATTCTGCCTTTTATTATTAGACTGCAGTAGACAGCTCCACTCCCTAGGAAGAAACCTACTGTAAACCCATTTGTGGTTGGTCCTCTTTGTGAGCTCCTGCCAAGCTGGTAGAAAGCTTCCTGGTGACTCCATGTTAGTTGGAGCCTACATTGTGCTTGAAGTGAAGCTTGGGGGGCCTGTAAATCAGCTGAGCAGGGTCTGGAAGACAGGGAGTATACTGAGGAAGGGTACTGTGTCCCCAAGGAAAGAGAAAGCTTAAAAATACCTAAGGTGCATACACACAAATATATAAATATGTGAAAAGTAAAGTAAGACCATATTCATCTATTTATAATCTAATACCACACACTACTACTGCCAAGACAAAATGTAGTGGCGTTTCCCCCTCGACCTAGTCCCTCTGCCTTTGGTGGCTTCTGCTACCCTCTTCCCCCCCACACACATATACAATACAGGCTACCTTGGATACTCATTTTGACCTGATTTCAATTCCATCTGGTCAAACAGGTTGGGAGAAGGGGAAAGGAGAAAAAGAAACACATTAGAGTTTGCCACCAGGACTAGACCTAGGCCCTTGAATAGCAGCCCACCCTCTCCCACCCCAGGGTGATCCTGCAGTGAGGGAGACATGGAAAGCACCACCTGGCACCCTGAGACAGAACCCAGACCTGCCAGCTAACATTTTCTGAGCATCTACAATTTGCCAGTCTCCATTCATTTGCAGCTCACGTTGAGGGGCCTTGGAAGGCTCTGCAGTCAGCTTCAGGATCGCTGTGTATTCCTATCAATGTTTGCGGCTATTCCTCTTGCCCTTTCTCCCTTCCTGTTCCTCCCCTAAGCTCCTTTCCTTCTCGATCTTGAGAGCCCAGTAATGGGCTCCCTCTTATTACTGGCATTCTGGCAAAAAAAAAAAAAAAAGGTGAGAAGCAGGTTCCCTTCAGCTGGAATGGAAAAATAAAGAGGCAAAATGATGGAAAAAGGCTAGAGTGCTGGAAACATTTCCTGCCATCTCCTCATACTCCACAGCAGAGGAACAAGTCCTCTTCGCACCCAACTGGGAAGAACAGCCCAGCCCCCAGGTTGCAGAGGAGATATTTTGACCAGTCACCTTCTGTGATTCTAACTCTGCAAGAGGGCCAGGCCTTGGGCAACCACAGGAGGCAAGGTGGGAATTATGGGCCATTACTTAGAGAGAAAAGGCAGGCTTTGCAGATTGTGCAGATTAGCACACAAAACAAATCAAAGTAAAACATCCAGCTCTCCCCGAGAGAAGAGGAGGAAGCAAGCTCTTGGTGACCTTTATTTGGGCCAAGACTGCTTTGTCTCCAGGATAAAGATACACATGCAGGCTACTAAGGGAATACCATCAGCTCTCCACCTGTGATGAGGAGTACATTTTCCTTCCCCTAAAAATTGTTCGTTTTAGTAGCCCATTCTCCCGCGACCCTTTCCCTTCTTTCCCTTTGTTCTTCCTGATGACAAATAAACTCTCCAGCTTGCTAAACATTTAGCTTCAAGGGAAGGAATCAAATTTGCAGACTGGTTGTCCCAACTTTGGTTATGCTGAAAGAAGGGAAGGGTTCCTGCCACTGACAGGTATTACGCAGGTCTCAGCTTTCTGCATTACTTGCGGGTGTGGGGTACTCACTGGGCAACCCCTCCCCCAACTGGCATTCAGTGGCTCCAGAACAGTTGCTCGGCGTGGCCCACAAATGAAATCGCTGTTGTCCAGCTGCTCTTTCCGAGCTGCAAAGTTGCTGGGGAGACTGAAGGGTCCGGGTGGGGGTGGGGGTCAAGGAGATGGAACCGTGGCCTGGGAAGGAAAGAAGGGGAGAGGTATTCGCTATCCCTTGGGGGTGCGCTCCTCATCACCCATTTGCTTCACTTACCATTTCATTGTAGGCATCCTTGCTGAGCCTTGGGGTCAACTTGATGGTCCCCATAAAAACAAAGAAGAGTCCCAGCGCCACTGAGAGAGCCACGACAGTTAAGGTTCTGGGGGACGCCATGGAGTGACCAAGGCGGTTCCCAAATAATCCTCTGCTTTGCGCACCCTGCCTGTCTGTCTAAAGCTAGCAGTTAACACAGAGAAAGCTAGAGGGAAGCTGCAGAGGCAGCGGGCAGCTAGAATGACAAAGGGAGAGGAGGGAGCTTAAAAGACAAATTGAAAGATCAAGATTCTACCTCTCCCACTGTAACAATCGCTGGGTCCTAATGCCCTACGCTCACTCCTCACTGGCCAAAATCAGTCTCCAAAGTTAGAAGAATCCCTTAACTGAGATGGAAACTTCAAGTCTTAAATGAGGAAAAGGTAGGTTAGACTTGGAGCTCACTCCTTGAGCTGCCTCTGGATTGAGGATTAGTGAAGACCTCATTTCTACCACTTCCCATCAGGCTCCCTTTTCATCTCTGTAATCCTCTAATTATCAGTCCTTTTTTTCAACCTCTCATTTTCTTCCTTTTCCTTTCCCTTTATCAAATAGTTAGTCCTCAGAATTGCCCAATGGTTTAACTGCAGTGTTTTAAGCTTGGCATTCAAGACCATCAGCTTATCTTCCAATAGCTCCTACAGCCACATGCCACCCCCTCATTTCCTACCTATTCATGGCCCCATACAAACCTGAGTTATGCCACCTCCACTACATTCCTTTCCCTACTCCACCACTCTTCCTCACATTCAATCTTTTCTTCAATATCACCTTCATAAACCCTTCCCTGATCCATTCCCAGCTGGATTTGATTTCTTCTTCCTCTGATTTCTTGAAATAAAAACCAATATTTATTGACTATTTACTAAATGCTAGACACTTCCCTTTACCTGTATAACAGAGTTATTTTTACAGCAACACTGTGAGCAAGGTATGAGCTCCCATTTCATTCATGGAACACTGAAGGACAAGGAAATTAAATAAGTAATTTACCCAAGAGTTTACACTAATAAATGGAAAGCCAGAATTCAAACCAAAGTAATTATTTCCAGAGCCTGGGATCTTAACCACCTCTTTGTATAATAATTTACATCATTAGTATGGCACTTAATTGATACTGCTTAGCACTGTAATTATCTGTACATGCCCACACACCTTTTTTGAAAAGCAGTGTTCATTAAAGGAAAGAGAATGGTCTGGAGTCAGATTCAGAAGGTTCAGGATTTAAATCCCCAGTCTGCCATTAAATCTGTGAACTTGGATAAGTCACTTAACTTATCTGAGCCTCCATTTCCACATTTATAAAATATGGATGAAAATTCTGCCTGAAAGGTTTGTTGTAAGTATCCCATGTTAGTCAATTTCCTAGCAAGTGTCTAACGTTTGATTCCTCAATGGATGTAGTTTACTTCTTGTTTCTTCTGGATTCCAAATCTACTCTGTAATTAGTTTAGATTATAAGCATTTAAAAGGTAGGAAATACACACACACACACACACACACACACACGTCGCAGACCCTGTCCAGCAGAGTCCGCCTGTTGTGGTTGACAACGAGAATCAATGCACAGGTGACAACAATCCAGTGTAAAAAAAGGGAACAGGCACAACTACTCTCTCAAGAGGAGAGTGCCTATAGGTGCCTCAGCCACTCCCTCAAGAGGGCAGAGCCCTAACCTTTGCCTAGACAGGCTTTTTTATTGTTTTCCTGGGGTCTTACATCATAGAAAGATTTATTATCTATCGCATAGGATATTATTGTCTACATTCTAGGTACAATCAAGGAAATAAAAATAACATGCAAAGGGGAATGGCAATGAGCTCATTAGCTCTGTCCTTAGGAGAGCTCACACAGGCTTTGGAAGTTACCTGGAAGATAGACACTACACATTTGTTGTTTTAGACCAGGGTGACGGAGTTTTAGGAAGAGCAAGCCATAACAATCTGTATGCATTTTCTAGGCCTGATTCCCATGGGAAAACTCGATTTGAAGGTCTGGCTCCTGCCCACCACTTTGCTTCTGTAGGTTTTCCATACAGACCTGAGTCACATTTGCCAGGCCAAGACAAACCGGTCTCCTACATATATATCTCCTCATAGTACCTAGAGCAACACCTTTTGTGCACCAGATCTTAAATCTTTGTTGGGAAAAACTGATGATTTTAAATGCAAATATCACTGGCAGTGGTAATACTTTAAGATTAGCAATCATATATATTATATGGTGGGAGAATTTCAGACCCTTTTCTGATTATAATTCAGCCTATGAAGTAAACAATGTGCATACAAAGAATTAGAAACTGTAGGAAAACACAGATAAATGAGTTATAGACCCTGTTCCCAGTGTGCTTGTCATGTGTAATAGAAAGTAGGGTGTATTAGAGAGGAGAGAATTTCTTTATACATACAAGAAAGACTGGAAAGAATAAACCAAAATGCAATTTTTTAAAATCATTTGTTTTCTAAATGTCCTACATTGACTGTTGCAGTAAAATGAGCACTTAGGGAAGTCCATTTATGTAGTCCAGCAACTGATCTACACACACACACACACACACACACAGAGTACATACTCTTTTCCCTTTCAAATTATATGATAATGGGAATAATACTACCCATTATAAAATGTATATAATAATAAATAGTATGAGGAAAATAACTCTCGATCCCAACATGGAATAAGATAAACATTGTTAATATTTTGGTCAATACTTTAATTTACCTTTATCTTAAGTACCTCTCTAAGTACAAAATAGATATATTTTTTCCAAATTAGACCTACTATAGAGTCAGTTTTATACCCTTTTTTTACTTATTAGTATGTTGCCATATCATTAGACTGTGTTTAAAAACAAAAATCTTTTAAAATGATTACATAATACATCAGCATCATTTTCATGTAATATAATTAATTTAACTGCTCCTTGTTGAATAGTGATGTTTCTATGATTGTTCCTTGTAAAAGGGAAGATGTGATGCGTATTCCTGTATATAATAATTTTTCTGAATTCCTGAATTTTTCCTTAGGATAATTTCTAGAAGTCAAATGGATCCAAATTACAAACTTCTTATTTCATATATATATAATATATATTGAGCTAACATTTATTTATTACTAAGAAGATGCCAGAAAGTATGCTCAGTGACTTGCATACATTGTCAGATTACTACTGTTAATTCTTGCCATTTTATGTATAAGGAAATGGAGCAAGGACTGAAGCAGTTCCCTCAATTCAGATCAGTACTGTCACCTTTTGGGATATTCACCCTAAACCTGTGTTGTTGTTCAGTATTCTGCTGCTGTTCCTTTAATTCATTTAAGACAGGAGTGTCAAACTCATTTTCACCAGAGGCCACATCAGCCTCACAGTTGCCTTCAAAGGGCCAGAATAATTTTAGGACTGTATAACTGTAACTACTCCTTAACTGTGAAGGAGTTGAAATTATGTTGCTGCCCCCTTTGTCGAATATTAATTGCCTGTAGAAACTTGGGTTTATTTCTGGGCTCTCTGTTCTGTTCCATTGGTCTATCTGCCTGGTTTTAGCCAATACCAGGCTGTTTTGATTACAGTGGCCTTGTAATACAGTTTGGTATCAGGTATTGTGATCCCTCCTACTTTGTTCTTCTTTCTCAAAAGAGCAGCTGCTATTCGGGCTCGTTTATGGTTCCATATCAATTTTTGAAGTGTTTGTTCTATGTCTGTGAAATATGCCATTGGTACTTTAACAGGTATTGCATTGAATGCGTAAATTGCTTTGGGTAATATGGACATTTTGATGATGTTAATTCCTCTAATCCATGAACACGGTATACGTTTCAATTTGTTTGTGTCTTCCTTGATTTCTTTCTTTAGTGTTGTGTAATTTTCTACATACAGGTCTTTTATCTCCTTGGTTAGGTTTATTCCTAGGTATTTTATTTTTGTTTTGCTATATTGAATGGGATTTTTTTCTCGATTTCTGCTTCTGCTGTTTCATTGTTGGTATACAAAAATGCCTTTCATTTCTTAGTTCATTGTGGGATTGCAGACTGGTACAACCACTATGGAAAACAGTATGGAATTTTCCAAGAAAACTAAAAATGAATCTGCCTTTTGACCCAGCAATTCCACTGCTAGGATTATATCCTAAGAACCCTGAAACACCAATACAAAAGAAACCACGCACCCCAATGTTTATAGTAGCACAATTCACAATAGCCAAGAGTTGGAAGCAACCTAGGTGCCCATCAGTAAATGAATGGATCCAAACCTATGGCGCATTTACACAATGGAATTCTATGCAGCAGAAAGAAGGAGCTCCTACCCTTTGCAACAGCATGGATAGAACTGGAAAGCCTTATGCTGAGTGAAATAAGCCAGGTGGTGAAAGACAAATAGCATATGATCTCACCTTTAACAGGAAGCTAAAGAACAAAACAAACAAGCAAGCAAAATATAACCAAAGACACTGAAATAGACAACAGGTGGACAGTGGCCAGAGGGGAGAGGGGAGGGAATTTCAGGGGAAAAGGGGAAGGATTTACAGGAACTAGTATAAAGGACACATGGACAAAAACTAAGGAGGGTGGAAGTGGGAGGGAGGTGGGGAGCACTAAGCGGGTGGGCTGGGATGGGAGTAAAAGACAGAAAACTGTACTTGAACTTGTTCCTTAAACAATTGTTTAAATTGTTTATTTAAATAATTAAATAAATAAATGTTTAAAAAAAGGAGTTGAAATTACATTCGGCCCTTTGAAGGCAACCATGAGGCTGATGTGGCCCCCAGTGAAAATAGTTTGACACCCCTGATTTAAGAGATATGAATATTTAAGAGGTCCTTTTTAAAATTTTTAAATTTTTATTAATTTGAGAGAGAAAGAGGAACATCAGTTGGTTGTTACACTTATTTATGCATTAATTGGTTGATTCTCATTCGTGCCCTGACTGGGAACTGAACCTACAATCTTGGTGTATCAGTACAATGCTCTAACTAACTGAGCTATGTGGCCAGGATGTAAAAGATTCTTAATACATATTACCTACATGCTTTTCAGAAAGAAAATTTACACTCCCATCAGCAGTATAGAAGTGTGTGTGCTTCACCACATCAAATCTGCATTGAGAATTTCAATTTTTCATCTTCACTAATTTCATTCATTTAAAAATTTGTACTTCATGGAATATTTGTGTGTTAAAACATTGTTATACATTTATTAGTTGTATA